ATTACAAAATGAGTTAAGAAGTAGTCTCTTTTTTTCTGAAGGAGTTTGCTAAATATTAGAAATGCTGGTTGTACGAATAGTTGATAGAACTCTACAAAAAAACCTGCCTAGACCTTATAGAAATATTTCTGCAAAAGTGACAAGGCTATTCAAATTTTCGACTTCTTCTTTAATCAGTTTTGATAGTTACAATATCCTAGAACTTTACCCATTTTAAAATTCATTGGTATAAAATTGTCTATAATATCCCCTTATTATCTTTTTAATCTCTGCTACAGCTGCAATGTCATCCCTAATTTTATTCCTAACAATTTTTCTCTGGATTAGTTAGGTGGTTTGTCAGTTGTAGCAGTCTTTTCAAGGAAACACCTTTCAGGATGATGTTTCTTGAGTATTTATTTCCTTTTTCACTCACTTCTGTTCGCATGTATACATATGTTTTTTTCTTTTCTTCAACAGCTGCTCAGACAGTAGCTGTTTTCATGAATAACCCAAAGGTGTCCGAAGAAATGCCATCATCATAGTGTTCTTCTATTGATTATTATATCTATTATTTCCTTCTCCCCATTTGAATTTACTCTGTTGTACTCTTGTTAAAGCTGATGCTTAGCACATAGATTTTCAGTCTTTTCTTTCCTCTCTAGTATAAGCTCTTAAATTATTTCGAGAGGATTTCCCTCCTTGAGGACACTTGGTTCTCTACCACCAAGACATTGCTTGGGCTAGCTCCTCACCCCCTCAATCTTCCACATTAGGACCCTTCCTAGGGGAGAGAAGCAAGGAGGGACAAGATGATTTGAAAGACAGCGTTTTCCTAGAGGGTGTGAATATTACTTTAAATATTGTTTAAATTATTGTTGGACTAGAATAAGCTTTAAATTGGATTGAACATTTAGGGAACCCCTTCTCCCATTAATTGGCTGGGCATTCAAAACACACAAAATTAGATACAGCAATTAATCAGTCATAAATAGATAACTCTAATTTCAGTGTGGGTGAAATTTGATAACTCTGCTATAATTATAAGCAACTGTTATGATTATAATATTTCAAACTTTTTAATCAAAGTAGCAAATAGTTATTTACTAGCTACTCCTAAAGGTTATTTCTAAGCATCTCTTAGGGGATATCTTTCACCTTATTAGAACAAAAGGATGGAAGCAAATGTTTTAAAAACCACGGTTCAATTGCTTATTTAATAACCATTTTTGAGAGCCCAAATCTTTTTCAGCCCAGGTGCTAGGAGTGCAGTGGTGACCAGGACAAGACATACTGGCTGGCTTCACACGTCTAATGGCCAGCGGGGAGTATGGACAAAGGAACAAGTGGCTCTCAGACATGGTGACAAACACTGTCACAAGCAGTGCAGGGTGCAACGGGAGCACATGGTGGAGGGAACCTGGCCTATCATCTGGGGGAGGGGAGACCTTTCTTGGGGCAGGGATACCTCAGCTGACCTGGGTCAGAAAAAGCGAAGGAGGAAGGAGTGTCTCAGGAGGCAGGCCAACCTGTGCAGAGGCTTGGAGGTAGGCGAGGAAGCTCAGCACATTCAGGGTGGCGGCAGAAATGATGTTTCAAGTGATGGATGGTGAGAGGAGTCTGGAAAGGCCAGCAGTTATGGGATCCTGCAGGATCTCACAGATCACAGGAGGGAAGAGGTCTGGACTTTGTACTGAGAGCCACAGGAAACCTCGGAAGGGTATAACAGGTACCCGGCCAGGCTAATATTTTCTGTAACCTTGTACCTCACTCCAAAGATGTTCTTGCAGGAACCTGAAAGTCCTATGTGAATTTCTTGCTGTCTGAAAAAATGTTTTGCTGTTTTTTGTTTGTTTTGTTTTTCTTTGGGAGAGTCAAAGAAGGAAGTGATCTATACACGTTCTGGGGCAAAGAAGATCTTTTCACTGGCACTATACATTTTGCAGAAGGATTCAAAGCACCTCAGGACAAGCTAAAAAAATATATCCAATAAGCAAAATCACATTTAGCAGACACCGATGCAGCGTCTAAGAGCGAGCCTCTGACTAGAGGAAGAGGCTCTGAAAACAACCAAGCCAAACAGATCCTCCCACAGAAGCGCCAGAACACGCTGCCCCCTGGCCTTGCCCAGAGGAAGACTGGCCCTGGCACGTGCAGCCTCCCCTTGGTTGTCCTCTGTCATTAAGTTCACCTTTCAGAAGCAGGTGGGATTTCACCCCTTGTACTAACATCGTCTTACCAGACCACACAAACAATTTAATAGAAACACAGCACTGGGAGGAGGGGCAGGAGGTTGGGAGATACAGCTCAGAGGATCCGAAGTAGCAACGTGTAGGATAAATGAGTCTAGAGAACTAATGTACGACAAGAAGACTACAGTAAATAAAACTGTACTAAATCAGGGATTTCTGCTAAACAAGATTTTAACTGCTTGTGTCACATACACAAAAAAGGGTAACTATGTGAGATGATGGATATGTTAATTTGCTTCGCTATAGTAACCGTTTTATTATTATCCTTATGTATCTCATAACATCATGCTGTATACCTAAATTTTATTTTTAAAAATAGCAGCTAGCAGAGGTTTTGAAGTATTAATTAATGATACTAAAAAATATTTAACTTTCAAATAGCCTTTAAAAAGTAGGCAAACAGAAAGACTTGATGTCTCTTGGGTGTTTCAGGTTTAATATAGCCAGAACCGAACCTATTACCCTATTGAGTGTGTATACTAACCTATAACTGGCCTAGATTCTTCAAAAAAGAAAACCAATGTAATAAAAAACAAAAATAAAGGTGAGAGGGAAGGAGAGGGTGTTCTGCATTAAAGCAGAGGAAAAATACACACACACATACATATATATTTTCTTTTCTTTTTTCGAGTCGGAGTCTCACTCTGTCATGCAGGCTGGAGTGCAGTGGCATGCTCGCGGCCACCGTAGCCTTGACCTGCTGGGCTCAGGTGATCCTTCTGATTCAGTCTTCCAAGTAGCTGGAACTGCAGGTGCATGCCACCATGCTCGGCTAATTTTTTGATTTATTGTAGAGATGAGGTCTCGCCAAGTTGCCCAGGCTGGCCTCGAACCTGTGGGCTCAGGCAATCCTCTCAACTTCAGCCTCCCAAAGTGCTGGGATTATAGGCGTGAGCCACCACGCCCGACCCACACATATATATTTTCAAAGGCAATGTGTAAATCTGGACCCCAGTTGGGGAGAAAACAGCTATTAAAGGCGTCCTGGGGATAACTGGAAAAATTTGATTTTGGACTGAATATTAGATGACCTGGAATTACTGTTAATTTTCCCAGGTGTGACATTTGTGGTTACAGTAGTAATGTCGGGGAATGCTAATGTGTCCTTAATTTTAGGAGTCACATGTGTGTTTAAGGGCACAGCGCCTGCTGTCTGCAGCATTTGTTCAAATGTTCCAGGTGGGGGTGGTGTGTGCAAATGGGACGAAATGTTGAAGGGTATCGATCTGGGTAGAGTGCACAGGTGTTCGTTGTACTCATCTTTCTACTTTTATGTAATTTTGAAATTTTTAAAAAGAAATAAAAACAAGGAAACAAAAAAGCACACTGAACTCTTTCAGCTGGGAAATACTAAGCCAGTGCCTTTCTCAAAAGTTGCCGAACAGGTAACAGAACAGGTAAGATCAAATGTGGAGCAGTGTAAGGTAACACTCTTACTCATCAAGTGAGGGCTTGGAGACACAGTTCTGAGGAAAAAAACCGCTTAAGTCCATGGAAGCCCTGGGATGTCAGGGCCCTACTGTGCCTTCCAAGCTCAGCGCATGGGGCCCAATAAGGCAGGACACAGCAAACAGGAAGGACACACTATTCTGCTCTCCAAAATCCTCAGCAGTCACCTCTGTGTCTTCTTTCCACGTGGGTCCCTTAAATGTCCTGGACCCTCCTCTCTGGTCTCTGGCTATGGTCTTCCCAACTAACCTCCTTCGTTCTCTCAGCCTCTGCCTTTAGCTGCCTGTTGAAGAATTTGCCTCACGGTAGTCTGACCACCTCCTCGGAAGCTCTGGGCCCAGGAATCCCGCCTCCCTAGAAATTTGTCCATATAAGGCATCACCTCACCTCACTTGGGTCCCAAGTAGAACCTCCGTATCTTACTTTCCCTCATCCTGCTCCTTCCCCGTGTGTTCTTTGCGACTTGGGTAGTTCCAAGACAACAAAATCCCCAAGACCGTACCAATACACATTTTTGTAAGGGCTCTGGAAACATCTTGCTCCCCTTCCTCAGCAGCCAGGTATTATTCCTACTTCTGCTTTTTCAAAAGGAGAAGCTAAGAGGTGAGATGAATACTTCCACGATAATACAAGTTCGGGTTTTCCAAAACAGAGATTCCCTGAATCTCTACACAAAGGATCGGCAAGGAGTGTCACCCCCTTCCCCCAGTGTTCTTTGTGGGTACTGTTCCTGTGAACAGGTAGCCAGGGCAGACATCCCAGGTGACATTCTACTACCCACATGCCATCCACCAGATGGCTCGGTCCTTCTGTTAGAAACCACTTCCTTATACTGAACCCAAACTTGCTCCTTGTGGCTTCTGCCTGATGTTTCAAGCCTTGATCAAGTGACATTCCTCTCCTCTCACCAGCCTCTCGTCCAAGCACTGGATTGCCCACTCTGTCCTGTCCACATGGAAGGCCTCATGGAGCAGCAGCCCAGACCAGCCCAGGGAACGAGGTGGTTCCTTTGAGGGGGCTCATGGGCTCCTCCTACACCAAACACCCAGTCCGTCAAGGATGCTTTAAGCTTCTTGGCACCCACAGCATATTTCTACATTCTGAATATGGCTTCCTCTTCCACGAGGGCTTTCATTGCAGACCCAGTGGAAAAGTCACACTGCCGAGTGCAAAATCTGCATGATGCTGGGCCAGAGCCGTCGTGAAGGCTCCATCTGGGTAAGTATCCTCTGTCCACAGCATTTATTTGACACGAATAAAAAGAAAGAATGATGAACTACGAAGGGCGGCTCAGGACATAAAATAAATATAAAAGCTTACCTCCCCTTGGAAGCTCTTCAGCAGCGGCGCTACCTGCTTGCGCAAATCCTGGGTGGGTCAGGAAGCAGCCATTCGAGAAGGAAAGAGAAGGGAAACACTGGTTAAGGCTTCCTAAAAACAGCTTTACGTTCAGTGCTGATTATCATTACAGGAAGCAATCCTGCTGCCTCTCTCATTCCTACACTCCCAAATAAGGCCGGCCAACACTTCAGGACTTAAACCAACGTGTCTGAGGATACAACTAGGTTTTATTTCCACGAAACCCTGGCCATATATGCTCATTTTAAACGTGCTATGCACTAAAGCTTTGGCTGATGCCAGTCTAAGTGAAATGATTTGCTTAAAGAAAATATAATGTAGATTTGACTGTTGCTTCTATCTGAAATAAATTGGGGCCACTGTGCTGCGTTTTAGAGGCTATTTTGTGCCCTGTTAGAGGGAGACACAGCCTGTTTTGATTCCATGTATGATAAAGTCACGGTAAGTTCATCCCAAGCCATCAGGACCCATTTTATAGCACTGGGACAACCTGTAGGTATGCATATATGATCTCCTTGAGAGCATTTGATTTAAAATAAAGTAACTGAGAAAGTGTTTCAAGTACTTTGAGAAGACTCGACTAAGGCAATAACTTCTTTACTGAGAGCTTAAGCACAGAACTTTTTCTGAGCATGATCTATGTACCAGATAGGAGTCAATGGGAGAAGGCCTGGCATCCAAAACATGCTTCTAAGTTCCCAGGTTGGCCCTGATGTACGTGCCCAGTTGAAACTGACTGGTATTGGTAAAGGCAGATGTGTGTCAGTCAAACCATAATACAGGAAGAAAGCAACAGTGTTAGGAGAATCTAAGAGGAAAGATAACTCCTGGTTAAGGAGATGAGGAGCTGTTTCCCAGTGGATGTGGCATGGGAGCTGGGCAGCTGGGCAGGGCGCTCGCTGGTTTCACAGGAGAGGGCCAAAGCGCTGGGGTCTCAGCACGCCTGTCTATGCGTGTCCCCCTCTAATCCCCGAGAGCAGCTGCCATCAACTGCCTGAATTCTGTGGGCAGACGAGCGTCCAGACTTCTCTCCAGAGCTCCTGGGTCAGACATGGAGGAGTAGGAGCTTGGGTGCAAGTGCCAAGGGGTTCAGAGCACAGAGCAGTGGGCCGAGGAGGAATGGCCCAGATTCCCAATTCTGGCTCAGCCCCTCACTAACTGTGGGGACAGGGAAAGTCACTTCCCTCCCAGCCTCCATCCGCCATAGGTAGGGCTCAGTGACGGTGGGTTTAGTGATAATTTTCTCTTCCTGGTAGAAGGAATACGTGTGCAATTAGAATGGGCTGCACAGTTCCTGGCACACAGGCAGCACTCAACACTAACGACCTGTATTACTGGGTACCAGAGAAGGCGATATTTGCCAGCCCTGGACCTTCAAGCATCATGGGAAGGCAGGAGGAAAGAGAGCACACGTGCCACAGGAGGGTGTGGGATGGCCCCTCAGTCCTTCGCCCTTTGGGATGTTGCAGTTCTCTAAGCAGCCAGGCCCTGGGCCTGCTCACAGCATGTACGCACTCGGTCTTTCGAGAACCGACTGACAGCATTTTGCGTTCCTTCAGCCAAGCACCTGAATCAGGGGCCCCATCCATCCTGAGTCCTTGCAAAGCGGTAGGGAGAACATTCCCGGGCACTTTGTGCGTTTGGGGTCTTCCTCTAGACCTTGACTTTTTTGGGTCACGAAGCCTTCTGAGAAATTGAGGAAAGCTACTTACTATCTTCCCCTCAAGGATAAAACTGCAAATTATTTCAACAGGGCCTTCCTAAAGGCTTATGCTAAGACTCCGGGTGAGGACATCTTGTAACTTAATTAGAATGAAATAAAGTTGAAAACTTCAGTTCCTCAGTTACCCTAGCCATATGTCAAGTACTAGGTTGCTACACGCATTGAACTACAAAGACACAGAACACGCCCATCACGGCACAGGCCTGTATTACAGCTATTTGCCAAGCATAACCAACCCTCATTATTTTGTGCTGTAACCCTTAAACTTCTGGTCAAGAAGCATTATCATTTCCCTTTCAGTTACACAGTTTTCTAAAAGAGTATATTCCCTTTCAATGTGATACTATTGGCTGAGTGCGGTGGCTCAAGCCTGTAATCCCAGCACTTTGGGAGGCCGAGGAGAGAGGATGGGCCTGATCCTCTGGGTTCCAGACCAGCCTGGGCAACATGGTGAGACCTCTACAATAAATCAAAGAATTAGTTGGGCATGGTAGTGCATGCCTGTAGTTCCGGCTACTTGGAAAGCTGAGGCGGAAGGCTCTCCAGGGCCCAGCAAGTCGACACTGGGGTGGCTGTGAGTGTGCTACTGCACTTCAGCCTGGGTGATGGAGTGAGACTCCAACTCAAAAAAAAAAAAAAAAAAAAAAAAGATACTATTATTTCCTTGGAGAAGCTAGTATTTTTTGTTCTTCCACTGAATGATTTTCTGTATTTTTACACCCAGGTCATTAATAAAAATAATCAAACTCTCTACCAATCTCTTCGGAAATAAGTAAGAAGAGATCTCTTCTTAAATACATACATGCATACGTGAATGTGGGCGGCACAATGATGGTCCCCTAAAGACAACCACGTCTTCATCTCTGCAACCCATGAAGATGGTGGGTTACGTGGTCAAAGGGCTTTTGCGGATGTGATTAAGTCAGCAGCTGTGAGTCACGGTGATCATCCTGGATTATCCAGGTGGGCCCGATGTGATCACAGTGGTCCTTGGAAGAGGGAGGCAGGAGGCTCAGAGTTGGAGATCTGAGGATGGACGCCGAGGTCACAATGATATGGGAACACAGGCAGCCTGCAATGCTGGAAGAGGCAGGAAGACAGATCCTCCCTTGGAGCTTCTGACGGGAACACAACTCTGGCTGACACCATGATTTCAGCCCGGTAAACTCCATCTTGGACTCCCGACCTCCAGCACTCTCACATGATAAATCTCTGTTGTTTCAAGGCACTCAGTCCGTGGTAATTCACCACAGTAGCAAGGGGAAGCTGCTGTAACTTCCTCGTCTTGCCCAATGTGCCTTTCGGACAGACAGAGGACCAACTATTACCCTGAAGGGGAAACCAGGGGAAAGAGGAAGAAAGGGCAAAGAATGACGAAAGAAAGATCACTGTGGGCCGGGGTCTAGGGCCAAGTCCACGCTTTAATCTTGAAGAATAAGCCCCACCTCTTGGTCACCACAGGTAATGAAGCAGGAGGCACAAAGAGGAATAAATTCTCTATGTGTGTCTTGGGGAGGGCGTGACAAGGCCTGGACTCCCTGCCGGGGCTACTGGGGAGGCCCCTGGAGCAGGGAACAGTGAAGGCAGAAAGAGCCCCCAGACTCCCTTGGGGGGGGTCGCTTCCCTTCCCTCCCCCCAGGCAAGGACGAACAGGCAGGATGATCACATCTAGGTACTTCTGTCACAAACTGCAAACACAAGATGATGGGTGGAATTTGTTTGTTTTCCAAAAAGGCCGGCTTTGTATGAAGATGATCCGTTAATGAAGTATCACCTATCACTGTGTCACCCAGGATTCTCGCTAACCCGCAGGGGCAAGGCTCCGCCAGGGCAGGAGGGGGGAGAGGAGCCGCTGTGAGAGCAGTGCTGACACTACATGCCCAGCACCCACTGACACGGGTGGCGAGTCCTCCTCTCACACTGGAAAAGGCTGCAAACCCACACTAGTCTTGTTTTTGAAAATAAGACGTGAAAATTCAAGGAAAATAACCTCAATGGGACGCTCGTCATCCAACTGTCAGTGGAAGCTGTGGCTCCTTCCAGGCCTGGGCTGTGAGACGGGCCTGCTGCTGGTCAGAGAGGTGCAGCTAAGCCCCCCCCACCTGCAGAAAGGGGGAGTACAGGTGATCCTGCCCTGCACCCCGCGAAGGAGGATGCCACTGGGGTGGGCCTCAGAAGGGGACTCAGAAGCTTCCAATGGTCCTCAGGTCCCAGACCTGCCTCCTGTTGTCTCCCACTCTGCACCTACAACCACAGCATGATTACAGTCAGGAGGGCACCCTCCTCCCTCCCGATCTGGGGTCCGCTTGAGGGCAAGGGGAAGGTGTCAGCTGCACCTGACAGGGCTGGGCAATGCTGTGCCCACGCTTTCAAAAATAATTTCTCTGAGCACATTCATGTTTCCTAACAGACCTACTAAAACAACCTTTTGGATATTAAAGCTGGATGTACATGTTTGGACACACACACACACTTAAAAACATTTGAAGAAGGAGAAACTGCTATATATTCACATGCATCATACGCAAACCGATATCTAAGTACTTCCAGTCACCAGCCAAAAATCACTTGTTCTAAATTCATTCTTGGCAGTGGAAGAAATTCCTTATCCAATTCTGCTGCCTGTGAATATTACTTGGTTTTATACTAAACGAAGGAGACAGATGCCAAGCTGCTAGATTCTGGCCTGTGGGACTCTCTACTGTCGGTTAGCTAAGGATGTGATAGGATTTATGATCTTTTTAGAGCAGTGCCCTTTGCTGTGCGGACAGTATCAGAAACCGCAGCCTCTGCCACGTCTGGTCCTAGGGTCGCCCGCGTGCCCTTTTTTATGATCGCAAGCTGAGGAAAGTGGGGCTCAGAGCCATCAAAGCCACACTGCAATGAACGGTGACAAGGTAATGAACATATTTTCAAAAGCTTCACAATAATTTAGGGTTATGCACTTAATTAAGTTATAGTTTTTTCAGTGATGTTTTCAATTTCCTTCGATCCTGAACCGCCTATTAAGCAAAAAGTACAAACATCTTAATGCATTGAAAGTGATGTCCTTGAGATTATTATCATCTCATATCTGTTGGCAAAAGCCAAAATAGCTCATTTCAACCTTTTCTCCTTCGAGTTCATAGCAAATAATAAGTCCTGTTTACACAGAGATGTTTCTGTGTGAAAAGAATTTTCATTATTCTCTAAACCGCTGATTCACAATACAGTTTTTAGGTCAGAAAACGGAATAGCAAAATGCTATTAAGGAATTTTCTAGGTAATGACCATTGCTAGAGAAAAT